TTCTTTCTTTTTTTTTTGGTACTGGGGATTGAACTCAGGACCTTGTGCTTGCGAGGCAGGCAGCAGAACCACTGAGCTAAATCCCTGGCCCCTCAGGTCTGTTTCTTTGCCAGTACCATGCTGTTTTTATCACAGTAGCTTTGTAATACAGTTTCAAGTTGGGAATTGTGATACCCCCAACCATGTCTCTGTTGCCTAGAATTGCTTTTGCTATTCTAGGTCTCTTCTGGTTCCAGATGAACTTTTGGATTGTTTTCTCTAGTTCTGCGAAATATGCTGTTTGGATTTCAATCAGGATTGCATTGAATCTGTATAGCAGTTTTGGAAGTATGGCCATTTTCACTTGGTTCTTCTTACCCAGGAACAGGGGATGTCTTTCCATTTTCTTTTATCCTCTTTGATCTCTTTTTTCAGAGTGCTGTAGTTCTCAATGTAGAGGTCTTTTGCTTCCTTCATTAGATTGATTCCTAGATATTTCTTTTTGGGGGGTGCTATTGTGAAAGGGATTGTTTCCCTAATTTCTCTCTCAGTGAGTCTGTTATTTGTGTACCAGAAGGCTATTGATTGATTTTTGAGTGTTGACCTTATATCCAGCTACTCTACTGAATCTGTCAATTAAGTCTAGAAGTTTTTTGGGTCTTCTATGTAGAGTATCACATCATCAGCAAATAATGACAGTTTAACTTTTTTTTTTTTTGTACCGGGGATTGAACTTGGGACCTTGTGCTTGCAAGGGAGGTGCCGGAACCACTGAGCTAAATCCCTGGCCTATGACAGTTTAACTTCTTCCTTTCCTATCTTTATTCCTTTTCTTTCTCTTGTCTAATTGCTGTGGCTAATGGTTCCAAAACTATATTGAACAGGAGTGGTGATAGTGGACCACCTATTCATTTTTTATTCCTTTTCTTTCTCTTGTCTAATTGCTGTGGCTAATGTTTCCAAAACTATATTGAACAGGAGTGGTGATAGTGGACCACCTATTCATTTTTCTTTTCTTTTTTTTTTTTTTTTTAAAAGGGGGATCGAACTCCGTCCGGTCCTTGTGGTTGCGAGGCAGGCGACAGAACCACTGGGCTAAATCCCCGGCCCTACCCATTCATTTTTCATTCAGTCCCTCTCCACCCACCAAACTATCCACCTCCACCCTGTCTATTCACTCACCCATTCACCTGTCAGTCTATCCTTTATCCATTCTTCCTCCACCCATCTCCTGCCCATCTAACCAGCCAACTGGATTTATGGAGCGCCGATGATTTTCCAGGTGTGGACTACTCAGTGAGCTCACTCACCGGCCTCCTGTTAGTCATCATCTGGTGGAACAAAACGATGTCCTATAGGAACGTGGGCTCTGAGACACATAGGCAGGACTTACGTGACTGGCTGGGAGAGGAGGGGCCAGGGGGCTTTCAATAGGAAGCAGCCCTGGACCTGAGTGTTGAGAGGGGTAAGACTGAAGGGCTTGCTGAGTAGAGAATCAGGGTCAGGGCTAGAGGGCAAGAAAGGCTGGTTTTCTCGGTGTGTGAAGACCAGGGAGCCAGAAAACAGACCGAGCACACAGAATCCAGCTGGAGCTGAAGAGCTGGGGGTGAATGGCCTGCTGGCTAGACCTCGTTCCCAGGCTCTGGGGCTTTGCAGGCGGAGAGGGGTGGTTGGGGCTATGTTTGTTGGGGGTGTGGCTACTGTACCAGGAGCAGGAGGGGGCAAGAAGGGTGTGTGAAGGTGGGCAGGGCAAGCCAGCTGCAGCAGGCTGACCCTGGGTTTCCCTAGGCCCACTGGGTGCCCCCGTGCTCCCACCTAAGGCCTGTCTTCTCTCAGCTCTTCTCCCTAACCTGAGCCATATCTGACATTTTAGCCAAGGTCTTTGTCAAGAAAAAGGGCTGGCTTCCTGGGTGGAGGCCAGTGAGATTGCACAGGAGCTGGAGTTACAAACACCATGGCTTAAGGCTGTTCTAAATGTTGTAATGATTCTCTCTCTGAACTTGTGTTTTGTGAGATCTGGCGGTCCACAAGCAAGCCCATGAGCAGCCCTGCTATACAAGCCACACCATCCCTCGAGGTCCTCAGAGCTCGAGGGCACAGAATCTAGTGGACCCCCCAAGTGAGCATCAGGTGAGTGTGTTACACAAAGGGTGGAGCCCTTAAGGCCACGGGGGCCACGCTTCCTGTTAGAACCAGAAATAGCCCAATGACAGGAAGCAGGCAGTGGCCGGCATTTTGACTTTGTTACTTCCCTGTTTGAGCCAGGATGACAAGGAAGGACAGAGCAGAAAAGGGCAGCTCACAGCTGTTTTTCCTTCCTTTCTCTGCTCACAGGACATCAGAGGAGCAGCTCAGGGGAATGCAAACTTGCGAAGAAGTGAAAAGGAAACAGCAGAGGGCTGGGAGTGTTGCTCATGCTGGAGGCCCTGGGTTCCATCCTCAGCAGTGCAAAAACAAACGGACAAACAAACAAAAAAACAAAAAAGATGAGTTCCTTTTGTGTCCTAATTTGGTGATAACAAAACCCATGTGCCTCTATTTGTATTTTGGGCTGGCATTGAACAACCCAAAGATGAACAATAAATATATATGGTGATCATTTAAATCTTCTTTATTTTACTTTATTTATTTATTTATTTACTTTTGGTTCTGGGGATCAAACTCAGGACCTTGTGCTTGGGAGGCAGGCATGGTGCCACTGAGCTAAATCCCTGGCCCTACTTTATTTATTTTTGCAGTGCTAGGGGTTAAACACTGGTGAGTTCATTCCCCTGTTAGATGAGAAATCCAGGTGACCTGTGGGTTGGCAAGGGGACATTTCAAGACCTGTATTGGGGCTGGGGACCAGGCAGGGTTGGGGACATCTTCCCAAAGCTTTGCCATTTTCTGGGAACTGGAAAAATGGGTGGGAATGGGGGTGTCTTGGCTCTGCAGGGCTCTGCTGATGAGCACAGGACCTTGTCTATGTGGGGCTCAGGAGAGGAAGGAAACCGCCCAGTGCTGGAGCTGGGCTCAGGGCCATGACACAGGGTGGGGCTGGCCTTGTGCACTTTTGAAGCCTCCACCTGCCCCGAATACAGAAAGTAGCCCTCTTCCTCCTGGCCGTACCCCTCACCCCAGCTGGCAGCATCCAGGCTGGGCTGGCCTAGTGGCTCTGAGTGGAGAGCAGGCTAGAGCTTGGCCTAGGCTGTCCCAGGCCAGCCTCAAGGATGGAAACAGAGGCTGTCCACACCAGGCAGTCTTTTGCTGCGGCCTCTCTGGTCTCCAAGGCCTTAGCTGTCCCCAGGCCCCTCTGCTTTTTTGGTGTGGCAGATTCTGAAGGACTTGGGTGTCTTAACCATGTGTCAAGGTGTGAAGATCACATAGGAGTCTGGGTGTGACACAGAGCCTGGCCCAGGGTGGCCCCTAGACTTGGCCTCTGCTTCTCTCCCTGCCCAGGCCCTGCCTCCAATAAGGCCACCTCTCTTGGGGGCCCCTCAGCCCTGTCCTCAGGCAGACCGTGTCCTGGAGCCTCCCTGTGCTCCTGCCTCCATCACTTCTCAGCTGTCAGGGGCTCTAATTACCAGGCTCCATCTGCCTAGGCCTCTGCACAGCTGGGGAGGCGCTCCAGCCCTGCGCCCAGGCACACTGCATTCCTGCGTATCTCCCCAGGGCCACTGTCCTGCCAGCTGCGGGTGGTAGAGTGCAGGAAGCCCAGGGGGATGCAGCTGCCGGATGGGGTCCGGAAGCAGCCCAACTGTGCCCCAGGACTCCGAGCTGTGCCTCGCTGATTCTCACACCCCCTCCTGTATAGCCCTGTGCCCCAGCCTAACAGAGGGGCCTGCTGCCCCTGGGGAGTTCCGAGGGTTCTGACAGCCACAGGCTTCCATGTGGGCAGCCAGCAAAGGGACCTAGGCTTCCCCACACAAGGTGAGTCCTTTCCTGGAGCCATGGCCCTTGGGGTCTCTAGATGAGTCCCATCTGGGGTGCTCCTTTTGGGAGAGACAGGTGACACCTCTGCTCCTTGGGCTTCTGCTGGCAGTGGTGGGCCTCAGAGAGCCAGCTCCAGTCCGGTCTGCTCCCACTCCAAAGGTGGGGGTGCGGAGGATTGCTGCCCTCTCCCTTCTGGAGCGTGAACTGCATTCCCTGGGGCCGACACCCGTGAGTGTCTGGGACTGGCCAGTTGTGTGGAGCGCACACCTGCCCCAGGACACTCACCCTCTGCCCTGACCCATGCAGCAGCCTGAGGAGCAGGAGGCCTCAGCTCCAGGCCCTGGGGAGATGTGGGCCATGTACCCACACTTCTCAGGGCAGAGGACGCCCCAGGCTGCCTGGTCTTGGTGCCCTGGCCTAGGGAGGACAGAGGCCATACTGCGGGAGACTACGAGCAGCCTCGTGGTCAGGGCCGAGTCAGAGGCTCCTGTGCCCACTCAGAACCTGCTGAGGGGGTCAAGAGAAGGGCATGAGACAGAGGGTGAGCTCAGAAGTGGTTGCTACTATTCTTGTGCCCCAGTGGACCTGCCTCCTGCCCAAACAGGAAGGGTGACCTGTGTGAATGTCCTGGGGGCCCACCCTGGGGGCCTGCCAGACCCTGTCTGCAGGAGCTTGCCCAGTACTGTGCGTGCCTCTCCCAGCCTGTAAAGGGGCCACACTGCAGTTGTGTGTCCAGCACCTCCATCTGGAATTTTGAGAAAAGGCCAAAAAAAAAAAAAAAGGTCAATGAAAGCAGGTTCTCCATCATGTCAGATTCTTCACTGTCCTCACCAATTACAACAGGACAGTGAAGGTGTGGGGGACATTTCCTCCTGGTGGCCAAGATTTCAATCTGCAGCTTTTGTCTGGGCTGAGGATGACTGCAAAGGTCACGCTGTCCATCCAGCTCTGCAGATCAGCTGTGGGGGGAGGGGGTTGCCTCTCAGGCCCCACCTCAGGAAGGTGGGGGACATGGCACTCTGTAGCCATCCCTCGCTAGGACCTGGCGAGGACTCACACCCTGAGACCAGGGCAGAGCAGGTCCTAGCTGCCCCCTCTCTTGGAGGTCCACTCCATGCTTGCACCCAGGCCAGCCTGGAGGAGAGTCAGGCGTAGCTAAGTAGCATGTCCAGCATGTCCCTAAAGTGCCTGCGGGATGGTCTCTCCTCAACTCTGAGCAGTGATTAGATGCAAGTGGCCCGGTGGTATATAATGACCTATGACCTCTGTCCCTCCCCAACCCACACTTAGGAGTCCTGTGGCCTTGAGCACATAGTTGCACCTCTCCAAGCCTCAGTTTCCCCATCTGTAGAATGGAGAGGGTCATGGTTACAGACTGCCAGAGCTGCCTCTACCAGGAACCAAAGCAACAGTGCCACAGAGTCCCATCCAGGAGGGTGGGAGAGATGCTGCTACTCAGTTTTCTGACTGTGCAAATTTAAATGGATGACAATGTAAATTGAACGGAGACTCTTTATTTATTTAGCGGTCCTGGGGATTGAACCCAGGGCCTTCACACTGAGCTGTATCCCCAGCCCATTTTATTTTATTTTTTGGTACCGGGGATTGAACTTGGGTCCTTGCACTTGCACAGCAGGCAGAGAAACCACTGAGCTCAATCCTTGGCCCTCCCCTTTTTATTTTTTGAGAAAGGGTCTCACTAAGTTGCTAAAATGCCCAGGTGGACTTGAATTTGTGATCTTCTGCCTCAGCCTCCCAAGTATGGGGTTACAGGTGTGCAACACCACACTCAGCTAAATGAGACCACTTAAATGCAGGAAAGGTTTATAGTGGCTCATAATTTGGGGATTTCAGTCTGTGGTCACTTGACCCTGTTACTTTGGCCTGTGGTGGCACAATGCATCATGGCAAGGAGCAGGTGACAGAGGAGTCTCGGTTACCTCGGGTCAGCTGGGAAGTACAGAGAAGAAGGAGAGGAAGAGGAGATGCCAGGGCCCCAGTATCCCCTTTGAGGGCTCATCCTCAATGACCGAGCCTAGCTTCCTCCCACTAGGCCCTGCCTCCTAAAGGTCTCAGTAGCCAAGATGTTGGTGACCAAGAGCTTGCCGAATATACCCCAGATTGAGATGTACACACAGGACATGGTGAGAGATGGTCAGAAACTTGGATGGCTGAATGTGGACTCACCAGGATTTCCTGACAGATTGGGTGAAAGGTAGGACTGAAATGGAGATGTCGAGGATGGTTCCACAGAGGCTGCAGGAGCTCCAGCCGTTGCATCTGGCAGGGGAAAGGAGAGAGTGGAGAAGAGAGAAGCACTATTAGAAAGCCTTTTTTTAATTATTATTTTTACTTTTTGGTACCAGGGATCGAACTCAGGTCCTTGCGCTTGCACAGCAGGCAGCAAAACCACTGAGCTAAATCCCCGACCCCTAGAAAGCCTTTCCTGCAGTCCACCCAATCTTTCTGCTTACCTGGTCAGGACTTAGTCACATGACAAAGCTTGTCCCTCTGTCTGGCTGCCATCTCCCTGGCAGATTTGGGTTTGCTTGCTCTTTCTCTCTGGCTCCTGAACCAGAATGGCAGCCAGTTGGGCAGGCAGAAAGAGAACAAAGCCGAAGCTGATGGGTACAAGTGAGGACCTGGCTGCTTTCTCTCCTCCTCCATCTGTGGGAGCGCCTGTAGGAATTAGGCTGTTTTTCTCTGCACACACAAGCACAGATGCCATTTCTTTGACTCTCCAGGTGAGGGTGGCAAAATTCTGTGGGTGCTAGGAACTGGGTGTGCCAGCTTGGGTTGGAGGGGTGGCTGGGGGGTGGGGAGTGCAGAGCCAAGGGAGGGGGGAAGGCCAGTGAAGTGCACAGGGACCTGCTGCAGGAGTGGAGGACATCGGGCAGGGCAGGCTGTCTCTGGAGCAGGGGTGGTAGCCGCTTCCCGGTCTGCAGGATGCAGGAGTAAGTGTGGCCTAGAGGCTGAGCGAGGTGTGTCCTGGGGTCCTGGGGTCCTGGGGCACAGAGCAGAGTTCCACAGACAGGGCCCTCACATGCCACCCACTCCTCCAGGCAGTGGGGAGACTGCCCCAGGGGCTCCGGGGGGGTGCTCGATTGTTGGCCTTCAGCGACATATGGAAGACTCACCTGTTCTCTGGCTCCTTCACTCTTCAAATGACTTCACCCACTTGTGCATCTGCATCAGGCCTCCTGTTTTCATAGGGACAGACACCAGTCCCACTGGTTGTAGGGCCCACTCTTCCAGAAAGACCTCATCCTAACTGATTGTATCTGTGAAGACCCTATTTCCAGAGAAGGTCATATGCTGAGGTACTGAGGGCTAGCACAAAATTGGGGATACTACTCAACCGCTGCATGCAGGGAGAGAGGAGAACTTGGAGGCTCTTCACACAGCCCCCTCCTTGGCTGAGGAGCTGGGAGGTACAGGGGGTCCCTGTCCCCAGGGACAGCAGGCCTGTGAGGACGGGGCCTCTGCTAATAGCCACAGGATTCCCAAAGGAGAATAAATACATTTTGGACCTTCCCCACACACCACCAGATGTCCAGTGTCTCCCCAGTAAGATTCCTGGGGATGGTGAGGCTGGGGCGAGGGGGTGGGCCAGGCTCATGGTGGGAGGAGGTGTAGGTGTCCCTCTCTGGCACCTCCTTCTAGCTTCCTGTTTTCCAGGAGAGGGAGAGGGT